CATGGGTCAAAAGTCTAGGCATGGCCTGGCTGGATCCTCTTCTTTGGATTGTACCCAAAAAAATATGTTAGCCAAGCTGTGTATTTTGCAGGAGATTTGATTGGAAATAAGTCCACTACTGGGCCCTTCAGGTTATTTGCAGTTGAGTGATGGAGATTTCCTTTTTCTTACTTGTTATCAGCTGGAACTGCTTTCAGCTGCGACTAAGACACCAACAGTTCCCTACAGTATGGTCCCCTTGCATGGGCCTTCCACCTATACCTAATGCCAAACATCTGGAAATTGGCAGAAAGAGATCAAACCCACATCCTTTTTTCTTCCAGAATCTTCCTTCCGAATCAGTGTCCATACTCTGTTACTGTTTTGAAAAGGTTACAAAATATTCTCCATAGCTATGATGATTATTGATCATGCATCTTCCCTAAAAACAAAGGACACATCTTAAAAGTCAAATATCAAAGAAACTCAAGGATGTTGGATCAGTTTACATCCTTACTTTTAGTAAGAATGGCCCCAAACCGTAACATCTGGCATTTTAATGTGCCTTGTTTTGGGCTCTATATTGTAGTTTGCTGTCTGTTTTTATGCCAAGAATTGATTAATGAGCTTCATCAAAAAGAAAATGCACCAATTGCCAAGAAAGCAACTTCAGGTCTTGTTTCCAAGCAGCTAACCTGTGTCAGCAGGAATAAGAACAGAAATGGTACACAACCTTTGAAAACTAATGTCCCCTGACTTGAAATAGTACTCATGCTGGTGGCATCCCCACTTTATTGTGGATAGAGGACTGACCTGTGCCACTGACTAGAGGAAGAAAACAAATAGCTGTAATGAAAAAAATGACATTGCCAGTACCCTGTCCGAAAGGCATCTTGCTCATCGATAAGAAAGAGAGAGGATAGGGGAGGGAGGGAGGGAGGGAAGGAAGGCAAAGAAGGGAAGGAAGGAAAGAAAGAAATGGATTTATGTCTCAATTGTAAGCTGAGTTTCATAAATGAGCACAACTATATGGAATATTCTAAAGCCACAGATTTAGGGAGAAGGGCCAACAAAGTGAAATCTTCTTGCCTAGAACTTGCTTGAAGTTTTCCCTAACCACAGATAGATGTAAACTCTGGGTCCAAAATTGCTAGAGGAATTGAAATGCTAAGTTATTTGCTCACTTGAGCTGTTTGCCTTTCAAAATCTGAAGTTTTGGAGAGTTGCATTTGGGAGAATGCCTGAGAATGTGGCAATAGACTGAACCAATAAGGTAGTTTTGACAGAGAACAGGTTGCCCCTCACCATACTGGTCTTTTTTATTCTGTGCCCATAGCTAGACTACACTTCCCAGATTCCTCTGGGGTTAGGTATGGCTGTATGACTGAGTTCTAGCCAGTGCAAGTGGACAGAAATAATGTGCTACACTTCACAAATGCCACCAACAGCTATTTCGTTTTCTTTCACCATTAGTGGCTGACTGTGTGTCAGGGTCTAATGTCCTTACACGTCCCAACTTAGTCTGAAATCATTTTATCGAAGTTATTAAATTTATTAGAATCTGTTTAGCTGATGTTGCTCAATGATTAAATAGAATAGAAGCCCGTCCTCATCCTTGTCACCATTTGGAATTCATGTGATCTAGAAAAAAGCTTCTGTTGTTATATTAAGCCATTGAATGTCAGGGGGCCTTTACATTATAGCAGCTACTATTACCTTATCTTAAATAGCTGCCTAGATTCTAAAAACTGCAAATAAGAAAGATGATAGTTGGAAGAAAGGAGAAAGGCCAGTCATTCAAGCATGAAAAATCTATTTCCATGTATTACTTTGATTGTGTAGGTCAACCTGAATATGTTAAATCAAGGATTTCTATCTACTGTAATAAGAACTCTAAATGAAATGAAGTTACCTTGATCTATCTTAAAATATCTGTAGAAAATTGGATTTGCATTTATAGCACTTTTAGAGCTCTATTTTGTGTCATCTTCTATGATTAATATGTTATAGAATTTTAGTTTTTTCACTTTGGAACTGGTATAAAAATTGGATGAACTAGACTTATTTCTTTGAATCTAAATATAAGCACAGTATTATAGCATTTGATTCTTATAGTTTCTCTTGCCAATAGTAATCGATCCACATTCACAAAGATGAAATTTAAGAGGATTATTATCTTTTACTAATGTACTGATACAAAATTAGGAACAAATGCATACTGATGTTCTGAAAATACAAAGACTTTGCATCCTGTTTTCTCAATATTCTAATCCTCTGCCAGGACTAAGTGACAATGAATAGGGAAGTTATAGAGAAATTTGGGGATTGCAAGAATTAATGTGTTTTCTACATGTGTCCTTCAAATACAATTATCATAATAATATCTCTAACCAGGTCCTACTTCATCTAGAATACTATTTAATGCTTAATTGTTTTTTTTCTATATCTGTGTCTCTATGGATGTTCTACATCTGAAGAGTATGCATAATAATAAGTCTTTTGACTTAAAAGTTTAACCTACAATTTCCATTAATACCAAAATTAAAATTTCCTTCTATCATTATCTACATCCTAATTGTATACAACAAATTGTTCTTCAGTGCTTTATTTAATTCCTTTAATTTTTGAAATACAATTTACTTATTTACCATGTATACTTTTAGACTAGGAGGAAATATAACTAGCTCTCTGGTCTGTCTAACAGGATTTGTTTTCAGTTGCAAATTGGAAAATTGGCATTTTGGTTTAAATATTAGATTTTCCTTATGTAAGACCAAAGAGCCATTTCTTAAAAGAGTGACTGTTGGGCCCCAGTGATGAAATTCAGTTTCTGAATCTGCACTAGAGCCAGCTCTAGGTTTGGGTGATGTTCCAAGATACTGGAAATGTTCCTGTGATGTCCTGCCAGGCCTCAGTTTCTAACTTTTGCCTGTGATGTGCAATGGACATTCTTCTCATTTACAAAGTTTATCAGCACAACTCTATTCCAAACCCAGCCTAAGCTTGTCAGAAGTTTCTGATTTATGGCCTCCATTATACCTGTGTTGCCAGAATGCTATATTTTATGTTTCTCCTTTTCCTCTTTTTTTCTAGAAACTAAATGCCAGAAGGATAGTTTTAGACTGGACTGTCCTCCGAAGTTGAGCTCAGTGAATTTTACATTAGTTTTAAAATAAATTATCTTCTGAGCCCTTGTACTATGAGTTGAACCAAGGAAGATAGGCCAGGAAATAATCAAGCTCTTCTCCAATGGATTGGGGAGTCTGGATTCTCTTCTAGTCATTATTTTGAAAGTTTCTACTAATCTCCATCCTCTTTTATTGGCCTTTTCTCAATGCACTATTGGTAATCACCAAATGTTTTACATGAAGATTAATTCACATATATGGATAAATATACATATACATAAATAATGTCTTTCCCCAAATAAACTAGAAATACCCAAATTGAATAGAAGTAACTATGTATCAAAAAAGAGGGAAAAGATACTTTTTAGAGAGAAATGCTTACATATATCATTAGAGTGGAATAAATTAGAAGTTTTAACAGCATAATATAATTAGGAACATGCCACTGATAGTTGTCTAATTTCACATTTAGAGTGAAAAGGAAATCCTGTGGGTTATACTTATTACAAAGAATTCCTATATCCTCTGTCCTGGAATAGCATCTTGTTCTTTAGAGTTCCGTGAAGCACTTATGTCCCAGACTTCTTGTAACTTGCGTTTTTATCATTTACATGTTGCTCTTCCTTTATGTCATCATGGCCAGATTCTTTAGGAAAGAGGATATATTTGGAGTTTTTCTTATTTTGTAGAACACCTTGACCTCAAGGAAGTGAAATGTATATTTTCTGTTACTTGAAAGTCCTAAGAACAATTTTCTCATCAAATCTTCAGAGAGACTAAAAGAAACAGTTAATAAGATGTCATAATCCAAGTTGTAAATGCTAAAAAACATAAAATAAAAACAAAAGAACAAAGATCTAAAAATCCAAAACCCTAAATTAAGAATGTAATAGATAAGTTTTAACACCATATTATAAACCACTGAAGAGAGAATTGGTGAACTAGAAGAAAACTCAGGAGAAAATGAAGCATAGAGAAAAAAGAAAAAATATCACTCTGACAAAATACCTTAGATAAACAAAAGATGAAAGCCTTGTCCCCAGGCTGGTGCTCATGCCTCTAATCCAGGTAAGCATGGTATAAGTAATTAAGCACTATTTTGGAAGATGGTAAGTATAAGGAGGAGAGAAAAGACAGAGAAGAATTAAGATAACAAGAAGTGCTAGAGGTATGTTGCAATTTAAAATGTGATGGTCAAGACAGTGTTATTGAAAGGTGTTATTTTGTAAATGACCTGAGAGAGAGAGAGAGAGAGAGAGAGAGAGAGAGAGAGAGAGAGAGAGAGAGAGAGAACCACGAAGATCTAAACACTTAAAAGGAGTAGATTGTAGATGGGCAGGAGTCCCTTGCAGCTCTACCATATTATGTACTTCAAAGTGTGTTTGGAATTTGAGCTAATTAATTTCATATTAGTTTTTATTTTTATTAGAAATCAGGACAACGCCCTAAATTGTGTTCATTAATAAAAGTAGTTCATCTTCACTCTCACCAGAAACTTTGCATTTGAAAAAATGTGTCTTTTAAAAATTCCCAAATTCCATAAAGAATGTTGTCCTTTCAGTTGGTATCTCAGAATCTGGAGGTTAAGCCAGATAATGAATATAAGCTTGTTAGAGAACTGTGTTGTCATCATGGGAAAAAGATGTAAAGAATCTTCACAGAGTACTCAAAAGTAGAATTGTAGGTTTGCCCTTCAGAATCAAATTGCTTTTTTTAGGAAAAAGAAAGAGGAAAGCCAACAAACACTCAGCTGCTTTGATTCTAAAACATAATGTTTGTCTCTGATGTTAAATTCTGTGGTGTCAGCCAAATGAAGCACAGAGGGCTTTGACATATGCAGAATGAAAAGCCTGTTAACTTGTACTCTTGTTAACTTGTAGTCTTGTTTTGCAGGCAAACAAAAAATCCCTGTGGACAGTTGGACCCTATGAAGGCATGGTTCCCCCAGAAACCGATATTGCCCTGGAACTGACTGCCAACCTGAATGATATATTAACATTCAAAGACACAGTTGTTGTGGAGGTTAAAAATAGCAATACCTATCGGATCCCTGTCCAGGCTTCAGGAATTGGTTCTACCATTGTTTCAGATAAGCCTTTTGCTCCAGAACTCGATTTGGGAGCACATTTTAGGTAAGGGAATATCATGGACTGATTTTTATAGGTAGATATCATATGTGTCACATCAGTGCAACATCTCTACCTCATAAAAATATTTCTAATTAAATAGAACTAGCATATTCATTGCCTCTTCTGTCCTATCCTCACTTTTTCTGGGTTTCCAGTGGGTACATTAGCCTCCAAGAAGACATTTACTAATCATAGCTTGGTTACATTTTCCACACTACATTATCACACCCTAGAAAAGGGGATGGTTTGTAAGAAGTGTACTCTTCTCTCAGACTTACAGTGACTTCTCCACGATGAATTTAGAATCTCAATTATTCTCCTTTTTGAGTTCATTACACTGCTAATATCGCCCCATAAATGTAGAAAATGCAGATACAGCTTAGTGCCAACCTAAATAAAGTCTACCAAGGAAGGGAAAAATACATCGAAAATATATCACCTTAAGTATTGAAAAGCCAATGACTTGTTTTTCCTCCCTACCGTAGCACTGAGATGGCTACAATCTGGTTTCACCTGGCCACTCAGGAAAAGCTACTGAGTATAAATATTTAAATAAGAGGTGTTACAGTATAGGTAGCTTTGAGTAGAACAATCTAGTGTAGATATTAAACGTATGAGGTTTGAATTCTGATGTGTGACGATTTACTCCTGGTTCTCCAAGAGACTCATGCAGTTAACCGTTATTTGGGCCACAAGGTCTGGTGCAGTACTATGAATAGACCTCTTTGGGTACTCCTCCTGCCTTCTAGACCAGCTGTCCCTGAAACCAAGTCATATGCATAGTTCTTACAGATATGACTAATAGTCATCAGTTAGGGGTCTTCTGTGTTTCCTTCCTTCTGCTCCATCTACAAAACAATGCTTGTCCACTAAAAATACCACAAACCAATAGCAAATTAAGTAACAGGAAAGATAGAGTTGTATTATTTTAGATAAGAATCATATGTTTTGAGTCACATAAATATAAAAATCTTCAGACAGGCACCTGTGGCTCACACCTGTAATTCCAGCTATTCAGGAGGCTGATATATGAGGACCATGGTTTGAAGCCAGCCCAGGCAGAAAAGTCTCCAATTAACCACTCAAAATACCAGAAGTGGTGCTGTGGTTCAAAGTGGTAGAGCACTAGCCTTGAGCAAAAATGCTCAGGGACAATGCCCAGTCCCTGAGTTCAAGCCCCACAACCGACAAAAATAAATAAAAATCCTCCTTTCGTGTCCATAGGCTCAGACATTTTGTCATTGTGTATTAATGCTTCTAGATGTAATTATAGTCCTTAACTTACAAAGAATGCCAAAGAGCTCAAAATTGCCTGGAAGTGGAAGAATAACAATTTTCTATTAATGTATAAGCAAAATGTAGATGTTAGCTGCTAATCCCCTTTGCCTAAACTCTATTGTTTTTCTTTTTGACACAAAATCATGTGCTAGCAACAGTTAGAAGAATCATTAGGAGTATGTAAATGACAGTTTACTGCCTGTTTCTATAAAGTTTTATTAGTACATAGCAAGTATGTCTCTGGCTTCTTTCACACAAAGAACTGACTATTGGGTCTAGAGGCATGGCTCAAGTGGTAGAGCCCTAGTCTAGCAATTAAAATACCCTAAGTTCAATCACCAGTATGTGCACACCTCAAAAAAAAGAGTTGTGACAGAAGCCATGTAGCCCTCAAAGCCTAAATATTATTATTAATTGCTATTATTATTATTTTACAGAAGATGCTAGATAACCCCAAGTCTAAAGAAAATCTATGTACTTCCCTTTCTAAATAGAGGTCTGTTCTCTTAGCTTTCCAGTGCTTCTATATCTTTATAAAATTGAAGTTAATACACTTTCAATCACTGTGTTTATATGATTGTTGAAAGTGTAATGTGAATAAGTAACAAAGGCCCTACCTACTCTGTAAACAACATGTATTCATTATTTCTCCTAAAAGCTTACCATTAGCCATAAAACTAAACTGCCAGATAAAGATATCCCATTCAGCATGTTCTGTAGACACATATTTAGAGAAAAATGGCTTTATCTCACAACTGGTAAATATTTCTTCTGAGTATTTATTTGGTGCTTCAAGTTACTTATTTAGTAAGTTGTCATTTTCTAAGCAACTAGTATAAAAATATCAAAACATGGTATTAAAAAAATAAAATATAGTTTCAGGATTAGGTGTTTTTCCCCTGAAAAATAGGTAATTAAGTATATAAACTGTCCATAAATCAGTTATTTTTAAAATTTCTATCAACCTATTTGAACCCACCTCCAATATCAACTACTTCACAGAGCCAAGCAATCAGGAGATTCTTAAGACATTTTGGTGTGATAGAGAATGATAGGAAAGAAGGAAAGAAGGAAGGATTGAATGAAATAGCAATATCTCCAAAACACATCTATCTGAAAGGAATACCCAGTCTAGATGGTATCCTGGCCCACTTCAGTCCAGTCCCCCTACTTCTGCTTAGGTTTATTGTCTTATTCTACTTTAAAGTACCACTTAAATTGAGCCTGCCATCACAAGATATTTTACTCACTCAGAAGAATTTTAGTCAACACAATGTGAAATATCCTCCCCCTCCAGTCAACATTTTCCTCTCTTTTCTCACCTCAAAGACATTTCTCATGAGTTAGAGGGCTTCCTACATGAACTATGTTCATTTATCTTATGGTATGCTTTACAGTAGACTAAGGGTGTGTGGAGCCACAGCCACTCAGAGTGGTGGTGACTCTGGGAAGAAACCCAGGCTTGTGACTCCAAGTCTAGGACTCCTAAAGTCAAGCTCACTCTATCACTATAATGGGTCCTAATACAGTCATGACTTGGTTTTCCTATTGATTTTTTTTTTCAAAAAGGCGTACCTTGTTTTGTTGCTTGCTCTTTAAGTACTTTCAGAAGAGTAAATAATTCCCAAGGATGTAGAACTAAGTGGAACATCCCTATGTTGACTCTTATCAATGCCTTTCTCTTCTTTTCCAGCCTGGATATCTACTATTACAACTTCAAGTTGACCAACAAAGGACGTCGAGTCCAACAGTTGTTCTGGATGAATGATGATTTCCACCCCCAGGAAAAGCAGAACAAAAAGGGACAAATGACAAAAGGAAAGCCCAGGGGCTCCCAGGAGCCCAAAGATCCAGAGACCCCTGTGTTTCAGCTGCATCCCGTTAGGATGGAGCTGTACCCAGGCCAGACAACAGATGTGACACTAGAGGGCTATTCTGCGACTCCCAGGGTGAGGACAACACATTTAGAAGCTATTTTTCTCCCAAGTAAATCCTCTCTGTACTTTATCTATTTCTTAGGAGAGTCCCTTGATATTTATTTGAGAAAGAATCTGGTTTCTCAAAGATTACCTACAGTGGTGAGTTACCATGGCAGCATCCACTGCTTTCAAGGTTCAGCTGTGCTCAGTTTTTTTGTTTGTTTCTGTGGTTGCCATGACCTTAACCTTAAAGGATCGTTTAAAGCAGGTTTTCCTCTCCACAGTCAACAGTGACCAAGCCAGTCAATCTCTCTTTGGGGAAAATGCCATTTTCAGTCAAAGAAATCCTTCCTATTAGCAGTTAGTATTAATTTAATGTTTATTCATAAAAGGGCATTTTAATTAGACACTCAGGGCTGCCTCTTTTGTCTAGATATTGTAGCATCCTGTGATCTCTTCCCTCCCTCCATGACCACAACAGCATCACACTTGAAAACATCATTGTATGTGCATCAGTGACACAGACATATTTATCTTCAGCAGCTCTAAATTTCTGCTCTTGTTTGCATTATCACCACAGAATGTGCTTAAAACATTTAAGCATACCCACATGATGTATTTATTTATTACCTTCTCTCATGGAGTTTGGAAACTCCCAAAAACCTAAAAGAAAGACTTTTGAAGTCACTTCAGAGATGCTTCTCTCCTAGAAATGCAGACTTTGTGGATGAGAAATGGTGTTTTCTTAAGCTCCTGCCTGTCTTACCAAATTAGGAGGTGATACTGAATTTTCTCTTCATGAAATAGGAAGCAGTAAGAAATTTGTCTCCCAGAAGATGAGAAAATTGATCCATTGCTTAGCTTTACTAAGGGCCATGGGTTCCACTTTAGTGCATTTGTACTATTTTTTCACGGAGCATTTTCAGGTAAAATTCATCTCAATGCATCCTCAATGCACAGAAAAAGTTCTCATTATAGAGTCTATAATGAGACAAACACTGTGTTGGGCACTGCGGATAAAATGATGAGTAGGACACAGTCTCTGATCTCAAGACACTTTGAGCCTGTAAGAAGAGAACATTTACAATACAGTTATCAAGGGTTGAGCATGTTTTCAAAAGGCATTAAATCTGAGCTACTGGAAAACTAAATTCAGATTAAGCTTTATTAAAATTGTCCTAGAATGTGCTTCCAAATCATGTTATATAGTTGATTTCATTAACATCCCAAACCTGAGCACACTTCAGTCTAAGCTACTCATGATATAAATTCTCTTTTGATCCATTCTATTTTTTAAAACCTTAGCCTTCTTGAATCCAAAGAAATAGTTGTTTCTAATGCATGATTTTTAACCATGTAAGGATGAAGGGAAAAATTGATCCAACCACAATTCCCAGCTAATTGGATAAGAGGTTATGTAGCTACCACTGAACTGTGAGCCCCATGAAGAATTGTATCTGTCTTCATCATCATTATTTTATATACCCAGACCTGAACATAGCCCCTGCTGTGTAATAAATTTCATACAGATCAATGTATGGATGAATGCAATGATTTTATCCTCGGGGGCAATCAGAAATAAACATAGAGTTCATCAAAGCTATATTTAACCAACCAGAACAAAACTGTGTAAAGTGAAAACAATCCCTGAATTGTACTATTCAGTATAATGTGTTTGTTCCTCATATTCTCATGATGGTAGTTTGGAATCAGTTTGCTTTTGGTGGTTCACTAATTTTTCTGAGATATGGTGGTTCTAAAGATTCTGATGTATGCTGTGTACAGAAAGTTAAAGAAAAGTTGGTGTGCCACGCCATCGTTGGAGCCCAGAAGGGAAAGAGCTTGGTGATGTCAGTGAATATCATCTGTGAGTTTATAGCACCTCTAATCCAGCTCTCCAGCAAGCAGCTCTCATACCGCCTGGAGAAGGTCAGTAAGGCCGTGTTCAGGCAAGTGGGGTGCTCTGAGCAGGGATTAACATGTTCACATTTTCATTTGGGAAGTTAAATTAGTCAAAATCCTATTATACCTACCAGCTAGCCCATTTTTTTCTGTATTTCAGATGCTAACATATATTTAACAAAGGATTCTGAATCTAAATGTAGAATCATTTGAAGTGGAAGTTCTTTCTCCATTGCCCCTTGATGTATAAGGCCATAGGGAAGGAGCAGTTCAGCAAAGAAAATATGTGCCAGTCATTTTATTTCTCCTAGAAGAAGCAGCACAGACAAAGAATTGGGATTAAAATTATCAATAAGGGGCTGGGAATGTGGCTTAGTGGTAGAGTGCTTGCCTAGCATGTATGAAGCCCTGGGTTCAATTCCTCAGTACCACATAAACAGAAAAATCTGGAAGTGGTGCTGTGGTTCAAGTGGTAGAGCGCTAGCCTTGAGCACAGAGAAGCTCAAGGACAGTACCCAGGCCCTGAAGTTCAAGCTACAAGACCAGCAAAAAATATATCAATAATTATAATAATAGTAAGAGTGGATACCTCTTACTGGTTAGCGTTGAGTCATGTTCATGACATCTATTTAACCAGCTACATATATTTCCCCAGCTATCCCTCACAAAACCCTTACAATGGTAAATTTCTGTTATTCATGTGATACGTTGAGGCAGGAGTTAAGCTGGGTAAATCACCTAATACTGCTAGAGAAAAAGTAATTATTTATTTGCACTCTATAAGACTATATATGTCTATAATTTTACATGGTCATTAAGGCCAGGCAGTAAATGGGAAAGTAGGGGAGAGGCTGTCCATTTCTTGGGCTAAGATTAAAGATGGCAAAGATGGAGAGGAGGCATCACAGTAGAAGTTGACCATCCTAGAATCATTTACCAATCAAAACAGACATGAGTAAAACATTTGCTTTGATTCAAAGACTACACTGTACTGAGACTCCAGTGAACCAGAAGGATATAATCAAAGCTAAGAAACTAGTAGAAGTTACTAGTTGCTAGAAGAAACCAGTAGAAGTTACTAAACTAAGTTATTAAAATTAAGCCATTTCATAGCTGGATGTTGTGATGCATGCCTATACTCCCAGCTACTTGAATGTAGATGGAAGCAGCATTGTAACCTGAGGTTGGCCATGACAAACCTATTTAGAAAATTATCTAGAAATCCTATCTAGAAAATTAACATTTTCAGCTCCAGCAATAAACAGACATATAAGACCCTGAGATCATGTGGTAGAAACTGTGGGTTTTGGACATAGGTTCACAGGCTGCTTCCTTGAGTAAGTGTCTCAAGTTGAGATTGAAGTATAAAGAGAAGCTTTTCTGGTGACAAGGGAGAGGGAAAGAGTTATAGGCCGGGGAACCCTTCATGCCAAAGGCCTGCACTAGGAAATAACTTGATAAACAGGAAGAACTAACAGGCCACCTTGGATGTAAAACATACCAAGATAGAAGGAGGTCTCTATGGAGAAAGGTAAGGGTTCAGTTGTACATGGTGGGTTTTGATTTTGAGTTTCATTCTAGGTGGCCTTTGGAGGGCTTCAAAAAGAGGGTTATAATGGTCAAATTTATTTATCAAGATAGTCATGCTGGATTGCCTCTTCTATTTCCTTGAAGAATGATGTTGGAATTTTGATAGGTATTGCATTAAATTTGTAGATAGCCTTGGGAAGTATTGCCATTTTCACGATGTTGATCTTTCCAATCCAAGAGCATGGGAGTTTTTGCCACTTTCTAAGTTCTGTTTTGATTTCCTTTTTCAAGTTTTTAAAGTTTTCATCATGGAGGTCCTTTACTTCTTTGGTTAAGTTAATTCCTAGGTATTTTATTTTTTGTGGGGCTATTACGAATGGAGTTGCTTTCCTAATTTCAGCCACACTTTTCTCATTGTTGGCATACAGAAAAGCCATTGATTTTTTTTTTTTTTGGGGGGGGGGAATCCAGTCGTGGGGCCTGAACTCTGGGCCTGAGCGCTGTCCCTCAGCTCTTCAGCTCAAGGCTAGTACTTGAGCCACAGCGCCACTTCTGGTGTTTTTCTTTTTGCTTATGTGGTGCTGAGGAATCGAACCCAGGGCCTCAGGCATGCAAGGCAAGCGCTCTACCACTGAGCCAACTTCCCAGCCCCCATTGATTTTTGAGGGTTAATTTTATGCCCTGCTACTTTGCCAAAGTTTTGAATCAGCTTGAGTAATTTGGGAGTGGAGTCTATGGGATTCTTTAAATACAAGATCATATCATCTGCGAAGAGGGAGAGTTTTACTTCTTTCCCTATTTGGATCCCCTTTTAACTAGTATATGTCTGAGTCAAGTAGAAAAGGTCAGATAAGATGATGTTAGGGAAATGAATCCTAAGATATGTATTCAAATGTTTTTTTTCTTTCATGCGATTATTTCTAATACATTTATAAGATTATTTCTTTGTTGTTTTGTATGTCCCTCCCCCATGGTATAACCCCTGCTTTCACTGTATTTGATGTCAGTATAAGGAAAAACAAATCGTTTAAATAGGGATACAGGTGGCCCCATTGCAACAATGAGATGTACAAGTCGTTATGTCGAAAACGAACTTTGGTGCGGGGTCGGGGGGAGGATTGGGGGGCCAGGCGGAGGGGGAGGGGGGGGGAGGGTGGGAAGGGGAAACAAAGGAGGCTACAATGCTTGATAAGAAATGTACTTATCTTGCCCATGTAATTGTAACCCCTGTACAGTATTTTCACAAAAAAAAAAAAAAAAAAAAAAAAAGATAGTCATGCTGGCTGATAAGTGAAATGTTTATTCAGCTTCGTCGTGTGCCAGACATAGTGTGTGCTGCTAGGGATACAATAGGAAGCTGTCCATCCTGATTACATCACAGCCTACTGGAAAGACCTGGCCTTAAGTAAGCCATTCCGATGACATGATCTATGCTGCTGTACAAAAGCCAAACCAGTTAAAAAGACTCACTTCTCATTACCTAGGGTTCCTCCAAAAAAAGCAAAACCATAAAGCAGAAAAGATAGCATAAAGTCTCTGAATTAGCATACTTGAGAGGCAGGTGGGCACCAGGACAGTAGAATTAGGGTTTCAGTGACTGCTAAGCTGAATATGAAGCTAATAAGCTCAATGAGAGATGTAAAAAGGAAATACTACACTAGTTCCTGTTATGGTTATTAAGATTCATGGCTCTGTTTGCAATTTTTCTGTTAGAAGTAATCAGAAAAGATATTTATTGGCACCAGCTATACTGAATTTGGTGGTATCATATTTTTTTGGAACACAGCTATTTGATGAATATTTCTTGAATAGCTATCCTGTACAAGACATGGTAATGTACATTAAATATGCAGCTTAGTTTCTTATTACTTTCTATACCCATAGATACGCATAAAAATATGTAGGTAGTGTTTTGTCTCTTCTCTTTAAATCCTGGTGCCTTTTGGCAGAGGGAGGGTAGCACATTTTTGCTTAAATGTCTGCAATTGAGGTTTATCGTTAGATTAAAACTTGCAAGTATTCTGAATATGGCAGCAACTTCTCATCAAATTACAAAGTGAATTAAGTCACAAATACCTACTCTTAATATTTACCCTCCTTTTCTTCTCCCCAAATACCAGAAGTTTGAACTCTATCCTACAACTGTAATGTTCAGTGTTCATTTTGTTTTCACATTTAATCCATAACAGGGATGAAGCAAGTTCATTATCAGGCATAGGTGAGAGACTGTTAGGTCTCAGTATTCAGATGTAATTGTCTAATATCAATTATCCATTCTCCCTCCTCATGGTCAGCTCAAGGATATGCTTCTGAGTTGATGCATTAGAATATAATGATAAGAATCCTGCCCATAGAATAGGTTTTCCATACTTCTTCCCTCAGATTTGATCTAGTTTATTATGATTATAACATTCATAAGCCTCTCTGTGGGATTGAAAAGGTCAACTGAAACTTTCAGCCTGCTTACTTCATGAAGTTCCAGCAGCAGCCTCTGTCTGCTGATATTTGGGGAGACAATCAGCCCAGAAAGAAGGGGTCGTTTTAAAATAGATAGCCTCTCTGGCCTTCAGCTCCTTCTCATCACTAACCTTCGAATGGCCTCTTGCCAAAACCAACCAAGTGTGGCTTCTACACTTCAAAGACATCTGTAGTGACATAGCAGCCTTCAGGGAAGGTCACTGGATGGACCATTCTCCATACAGCCTTTTACTTAGTAGGCTTAAATGTACTGCTTCATCACTCCCTAGACTGGGGAATGCAACCTGCAAATGCTACAGGAGTTCATATCTGTGTTGTTAACAGTAGAAAGACGGCAGTGGAGGCTGGCATTGTGTGGCAAGCGCCAGACCAAGCCCTTGAAATAACCATTGGCTAGCACAACTGAGTCAGGTAAGCCAACAGATGCTGGTCATTCTGGTTCACCCAGGATTGAGGACCCAGGAACCACAATGGAAGGAAAACTGTGCCAGACATACCAGCAGAAAAATGGAAGATCAAAATATAAAATAAGGAAGCCCTCACTACAATTAGAACAAAGAGAGAAAGCAAACCAAAAAATGGTTAGCCTAGCACAAGGAGGAAACAATATGTTGGAAAAGCCCAAGGATAATGGGGGTAGAGAGGGTGGGCGCAGAGATTAGCCTTCCTTAGAAGCCAGCAATTGAGACTTCTAATGATTTCTGACTGATATTAAAACATCCCCTTTACAGATCATTCAAGAAGTAATGTGAAGTTTGGTGCTGGTGCTTCATGCTTGTAATTCTAGCTACTCAGGAGGTTGAGATCTGAGGATTGAGGTTTGAAGCCAGCCCAGGCAGAAAAGTCTCCAAGAAGTTCTTATCTCCAATTAACCACTCAAAACCCAGAGTGGTACTGTGGCTCAAGTGGTAAAGCACTAGCCTTGAACCCAAGAGGTTCAAACCCCACAACTGACAAAAAAGAAAGAGTGTGAGCCCTGAGAGCAGCATGAGAAAAATCCAGGTTGACCAGATCTATTCAGTTTCCTCTATTTCAGTTTCCTCCTCCAGTTGAAAAATAAAAACTGATATGTCTAACAGAGTGAGAAGATGCTTCTATATCAACTCTGTTCTTGGTATCAAGAAAAATATATAGGAAATAATTATGAGCATTCATACACTGGCTATTCTAAACATGTTTGCAAATAATATTTTAAGCACAGAGTTACTATCATAAGGGGAGAATGTTTATCTGTTCTAGTGATACCTGGATTCTTTCACACGAATGACTGTTTTATGATACTGTGGAATAATAGTTCTATCCACAAGCATGGATTTTTGTAAGTTTTCACTGAGGCAAAAAGATAGTCAGAAATCTAGGTCAGGCTCAGTAATTTATGTCTGAAATCCCAACTATACAGGAGGCATGAATGAGAAGACTATAGTCTAAGGCTGACCTGACCAAAAAGTATGATACTCTATCTTGAAAAGTAACATTGGGCTTGAGGTATGGCCCAAGTGGTAGAACACCAGCCTAGCAAGCACAGGCCTTGAGTCTAAAACCTTAGTTACTTCCAAAAAGGAGAAATAAAAGAATTTTTTTAAAAAAACAATCTTTTTTCTGGATTATATAGGTTCACCTTTCTGCGACCTACCATACATAATTCCATGTGATCTATCTAAATCTCTTCTGGGGAGATAGTACGAAACTTCCATTACTAAAGGATTACTAGTGATAACTCGACTTCTTTTTTTTTTTCACAGAAACCGAATATTGTCCTGGAGCCTAGTTATCAGCCCGTGGTCATAAAGAATATTTCCACCTTGCCTGTGAACATATTTCTCTCCACAGCTGGACCCTTCTGTATATGTGAGAATGACAAATCGCTGCTTCCCATAATTCCTAAGGTAACTTGACAGGGAGCTAGATATGTGAAATGGAACAAAATAATACTAACAGTAATGACAATGATGATAATACTAAGCTTCCTAAACTTCATCCAGAAAAGAATGTAAAGGATCTAGGAAAACAGCAGGAAAGAAAACAGCAGTTCAAACATAAATAGTCAATGGACACCAGTATCAGTCAGTAGGAACACTCATTAATGGTATGAAAACTTGCAACTACCTATTCTCTCCTGCCCATTATGATAAAGCCAATCTGTAGACAGTAGTCACTCCTACAAGCACTACTGAAGAGCTTTTAATTCTCGTCCTTCAGATTCAGCCAAAACTCCATACTCAAGGAAATAGCCCAGCCTAGCCTAATAACCACCAAGCCCACCTTGAAATACTGAGAAATCTGAACCAAGCTAAGGGAGGAGGTTATGAGCTAACCCCTGCTATGAGTCTGGGGCAGGAAGCAGCATTCTCTAAATAGTTCTCCATGAGCATTCCCATGATCTTTGGCTGCACATGAGGATATCAGTTAGAAATGTGGCCCTTTGGCAAGTGGGTATATATCGAACAAAGGATTTATAACACTTTTGCTTTATAGCAATCCACTCTCAAGGTAACTAATATAGTCCCATAAACAAAGAAACTAATCTAGTAAGGAATCTTACTAATCTAGTAAGAATTCAGCCAGGTGCCAGTGGTTCATACCTGTAATCATAGCTACTCAGGAGGCTGAGGTCTGAGGATTGTGGTTCAAAGCCAGCCTGGGCAGGAAAGTCTATGAGACCCTTATTTCCAATGAACCACCAGAAAACCAGAAGTGGTGCTGTGGCTCAAATGGTAGAGCACATGCCTTGAGCTGAAGAGCTGAGGGACAGTGCCCAGGCCCAGAGTTCAAGCCCCATGTCCAATAAAAAAAAAAAGAGCAAGAACTCATTCCTTTGAGAAAGACATTAATCTGTTCATAAGGCTCCACATCTGTGAACTGAACATTACCACAAGACCCAATCTCCCTCCCAACACCTCTGTAATGACCATCAAATGTCAGCATAGGTTTTGGAAGGGATAAACCATAGTCAAACCATAGTACTATGCGTAAGTTCGTGTATGTGTATTTCAACTGATGTGTATAAATAAATACGTGTGTGTGCCTGTGTGTATACATAAAAATTTCATGTATCAAATGGGAACTTCATAGTACAAAAGCTGATTATTCTACATTATCTTATTTTTAGCCTATTAAGTTGAATATCAATGAAGAAAAAAGCCTACTGATCAAATTTGACCCTAACTTCAAACGTGATTTAAACAACTGGGTGTCAGAAGAAATTCTGTCAATTAAGTACGCTGAACATCCTCAGGTAGATAGCCTGAAGCTGCGTGGAGAAGTGTGTTACCCCAACCTCATCTTTGAAATGACAGAGGTGAATTTTGGCTGTATCCTGAATGACACAGAGATGACTCACTCAATTACAGTCTCCAACTACAGCCCTTTGGTTGTGAAGTTCCGATGGTTCTTCCTGATGGGTGACCAGGAGAATCAGATAAGGTACATAGGCACAGAAAACCCAAGGACCCCTGCTGTTCATGTATTTTTCTCTTGAAACTTTGCCCTGGGCTTTCTGTATTCTTCATGCTGTTTTTATTTTCATAAATAATTTTGGTTCTGACAACTAATTACTGACAAAAGCACATATTTACCACTTGAGCCACAACTCCACTTCCAGTTTTTTGCTGGTTAACTAAAAATAAGTTTCACGGATTTTTCTGTGTAGGCTAATTTTGAGCCATAGTCTCAGATTTCAGCCTCCTGAGTAACTAGCTTTATAGGCATGAGCGAGTGGTACTTAATAGAACTTTCTTTGTTTAACTGAAGCTTTATGGCTGCTGATTCCTATTTGCCTCTTCTCACCCTAGCAATCACCTACTATTCTACTCTTTAATTTATGAATTTGACTTAGATAACTGATGTAACTAGAATTATTCAATATTTTTATGTGACTAGCCTATTTCTCTGAGCATAATATCCTGAAGTTTTACTCATACACCTGTCATCTATTTGTATGTCTCTGTAGGATACATGTCTACTCAAGTCTTTAGCACAGTTTATAATTGAATAATGAGTTATTTGAGTTTGGGTTTGGGTTTGGGTTTTGTAGGAGTTCTTTATATAACTTGATGATTGATCCCTTTGTAGATACATAATTTACAAATGCTTTGCCTATTCCATAGGTTGCCTTTTTACTTTGTTTCCTTTGAATGAAAAATCCTTTGGGTATGGTCATGTGTGTGAGTGTGTGTGAGTGTGTGTGTGTGTGTGTGTGTGTGTGCGTGTGTGTGTGGTGTGGTGCTTGTTTGTTTGTTTGCTTTGATGGTCCTAGGGCTTGAACTCAGGACCTGAGCTCTGTCCCTGAGACTCTTTGTGCTAAGGGTAGTGCTCAACAACTTGAGCCACAGCACCATGTCAAGCTTTTTCTGAGTAGTTTATTGGAGATATGAGTCTCAGGGACTTTCCTGCCTGGGCTGGCTTTGAACGGTGATCCTCAGATCTTAGCCTCCTGAGTAGCTAGGATTACAGGTGTGAGCCACCGGCACCGGACCTGGAATATGTTTTTTTTTTAATGCAACTGGGCTTCTCTCTACATAGTAGATCAGTTTTCCCAAAACCATTTGCTGAAGAGACTGTTTTTTTTTCCAACATATATCAAAAAACTGTGATGTTTTAATTAATAAGTACATTTGAGTAGAACCATACATTGAGTATATATTCCAGTGAGCTTCATGTTGCCTGAATGCATATTTCAGAGGATTTCTGTTCTAGAATGTATGTTACATGTAAGAGTTATAGGGGGTGAGCGTTGGATTTTCTTCTTGATTGGGCTGATGGGCTTCTGAGTATTTACTCATTAGATGTTTTGACAGCTCCATATTTAACATGTTGATCTTGAAAAGCCATTCTTAACTGAGGAGACCTCATATTGTTTCCTTAGTGACTTGTCAGTGCTTCCTGTACATAATTCTCATCTTATGTATGACAGCTACCCTTTTCTTTCCTGTGCTTGTTGCCATGGTACTGACAGCTTGCTCTGGATGTATTCCATAGATGTCTAATGATGACCCAACATAGCATTGAAGCTGGCAGCTAGTCCTGGGCCTGAGCATTGGAGCCTGCTCATTAAATGCCATGGACTGTTTGGGTTTGGAATGAAATTCTGTAGATGGTGAACATTTAAAATAATTATGGAAAACTCAGCCAACCTGACCTAATATGCTTTGAATACCAGATTTTGTGAAATTATTCTGATGTAACATAGCTAAATGAGTTTATTCCATCTGGGAACCAGGATATGCTTTATTTATTCTTTTTTTTATTTTTGAGAGACCATTTACATAATTAAAATAATGACATTTTTAAGAGTAGTTAGCCAATACTGAAGATGATACATTTTATTTTTCATTTGCTTAAGAATTTCTTTAACCATGTTTTTCTTTCTTTAGAACCTTCTTATTTCTTAATATTGAGCCTTCATATTGCTTATGCTTCTTTTATTCATTCAGAGTTATTCTGTCGGAGTTATTTAAGATACATTTGATCAGTGGCTCTTAAGGACCAAAGAGTCTGTGAGGTATCAGAGATGTACATGTGCACAAGACATTATCCCCATTCTGAGCTAGTGAGGGAAGCAGGCATGGAAACCATGCGTGGACAGTTTATGATGCCAGGCTCTGAGGAAGAAAGCAGCCATGCCCACAGCAGCAGGAAAAGGCTTCAGTGAGGAGTCTTGGGTACATGTTCCAGGGGAGAGCAGGGAAGCATTCTATTGAACAACAGCAATATGTCCATATTAGTTAGGACTCATGGTTCCTTCATTGCAAATCGCAGAAACCCTGGCCCTAAACAAAAAAATTGAAAGGAAAAGAAAGTCATGTGTTCCCACAGCTCAAAAGCTAGCACCATTCTGGATTCTGGCCTGGATTTAAAGATGACTTAAACAACATTAAACCTTAAAGCTGACTCAAACAATGTTCTCATCAGAGCCAGGTTCCTTGTCTCTATACTTTGCTCACTCTTGCGTGTTCACCTCATTCTCAGATTGGCTTTTCTCTCATAGTCACCAAATGGCTGCCAACATTCCAAACCCTGAACCAGCATGCTTTTTGTCCTAGAACTTGCAAGAGATTCACTCTGATCAGACCAACTTAATCACATTTCCTGTGCCTACCCCTAAACAGGAAGTTAATGTACTGATCATTGTCTACCACTTATCCCACACCAAGGCCTCCAGATTTTCTTGGCTACTTTGCCTGCAGAGGATGGGAATGGACTGGACCTCCAAACAAGCAAACAAATAACATATGAGAAAATAGATGCTAGAGAGTAAATGACCTGCACATCAGTGTCACAAGAGTAGAACAGTATGGTGAGAATTTGGGCTAGAAGTCAGGACGGGAGATGCATATGGAGAGTCTTGGCAATGGTATATGACTTCTGGTATTCCACAAGGAATTTAAACACTAGTGAAGAAAGGTGTAAATAGTGGTGAGATTTATTAATCAAGAGAATGTCACAGTCATTTGGGTTTTTGTTTCATTTTGTTTAGAGTGGTAACTCATGACATCCAGTGCAGTTAACCAACATTTCTTTCTTGGCTTGCAGAACAGAGCACCATATTCTCCTACTTTTCCTTGTCTCCCTTCAACCACTTCTCCTTAACTCTCTGCAAGTAATCACTGCACTGGAATCATAGAACTCAAACACTGTCCTAGGCCCTCTACTCTTCTTATCATTTGACTCGCCCGGATAGCTTCAGTCAGAACTCTTACTGAGGACTTTAAATGTGTACCCTAGATTCCTAAGTTCATTGTGTTCCTAACATCTTCTCTTAGATGTCTCTCAGGTGATTCATAGCTAATATGCCTCACATAAACTCTGGTTCTCCTCCTGTTCCTACTTGCCTCTCCTATGTTCCCTGCTCCCCATTTTTATGGAAGAATCAGATGTTTTCCCTCTCCTTAACTCCACTCACCCATCAAGCTCTTCTTCAAGTTCTGCCTATTCAGCATCTAGAAACCTTGTTCCATTTCCTCTGCTCTGTTCCTGTTTCTGGTCAACATCACACATTACTTGTACCATTGTAACAAGCCTAGCAAGGCTTTTTTCCTTCTACATATGCAACACAGTCCATTCTCCAGTGACAGTGAGTATATGCTGGTCCTGGGTCAAGCCTGAAATAACTCAAGTCACTCAGGATTCTTAGACTCAAATAGAAAATCCTAACATGATATTCTATAAGGGCTAGCATGTACTGGTACCTAGTTCTTCTCTGTCTTCTTCCTTGCTGGCTCTCTTTCCAACACACAGCACATTAATTATCCTTGTTGATTACCTTACATGCCAACCTCTGTCCATTTAGTACCTCAGCCCATCCAATGCCCTTCCTGTCCACCCCCCCCACCCCCCCCCACACCCCCGCCTGCTGGAAGCTCTTCTCAATTCCCATGTGGCTCCCCCACTGCTCCCTCCTCAAAGCGTCAGTGTCCTTTCCCAACGAGGTGTTCTCAGACTTGGTCATCTCCTTGATGATATTCATTAACATTTATACTTGGGGTTCAGTGTCCAGCTTCCCAGTATGCTCTTAGCCCCCCTGAGTTAAATGAGCACATCCATACTATCACTTCTGGAGCCTCAAAGCCTAGAACCACCTTCAGCACAGACTGGGGCCTCAAAAAGTATTCTTTTTTTTTTTTTTATCAGTCGTGGGGCTTGAACTCTGGGCCTGGACCCTGTCCCTCAGCTCTTCAGCTCAAGGCAAGTGCTCTACCACTTGAGCCACAGTGCCATTTCTGGCTTTCTAGTGGTTTTATTGGAGATAAGAGTCTCACGGATTTTCCTGCGCGGGCTATCTTTGAACAGTGATCCTCAGATCTCAGCCTTCTGAGTAGCTAGGATTATAGGCATGAGCCACCGGCGCCCAGCACTCAAAGTATTCTTTAGTTAACCAACTTCTGTCTTCTGTGGTGTTGGAGAGAGAGACAGAGACAGAGACAGACAGAGAGAGAGAGACAAAGAGACAGAGAGAGAAAGGCTTTCATAACTGATTCTTTTCTGTCAGCTTCCTGGCACCTGCCAAATTGAAAAGCTCAAGGCATAAATGTCAACTAGAATAGATGAAAAAGAATGCCACCTGCCCTCCAGATAGACTGTCTCTTGTAGACCATTAGAAAAACACCCAAAAAATGGCTAAAGTTCACTTTTATCAGATATATCAACACTTACCTTTCTTTTTCTGATTAGAATTCTTCTGAGTCTTGCAGTTCATAAGAGAAACAAAAGTATAAGAAAAGGTTGTTTTTCGATTATGGGTGGGTACATACATCTGCAGCAACATATGAGCGCATGTGTGTGCAAGTGCTTACATGAGTATGCCCGTGTGAATATGTGGACTATTCCTACTCACTTAAAGCATAACTCTTGTTTTTTCCAGCTTGCCCTCACATCACATAAAAACAAAGATACAAGTAAGTTAGACTAGTGTCCTAAGCCAATAC